CTTTAACCACTGTACTCTAGCTTTCTGAGCCCAGTATTTCTCTTCATAGGTATGAGCAGCATTAAGATCTTTTGAAACTGAGTCCCATTCCTCCCATTTATCTGCTTTACTAGCTTCTCTGATTTCCTCAAGCTTATTGGAAAGAGCAGCAATCTTTTCTTGGTTTTGGGACTTGAATTTTGAGCTCCATATGAGAAGAGCAATTCTTGTCTGCTTCACTTTTTCTTTGAGCCTGAAGAAAGGTGTACCAATCTGAGGTATGGTCCAAGCTTTCTGCACTACCTCTGCAAATCCTTCTTTAGAAGCCCATCTTCTATCAAAGGCAAATCTCCTCTTGCATCTAGGTTCTTGAGAACCAGCATTAAGAATAAGGAGAGAGTGATCTGAGGCTGTTCTTATCACATTAAGCACTTTAGCATTGGGGTGTGAGCTGAGCCATTTATAAGAAGCAAAAGCTCTGTCTAGCTTCTCTTCAACATAACCCTCAGCATCTCTGTTGTTCCCCCATGTAAACTGGTATCCTTCCATGCCAATCTCTTCCATTTCCATATTGGAGATGAACTTGTTGAAGCCATCAAAACTTCTATCTTGTCTAGGTCTGCCCCCTTTCTTTTCTTCCTTGGCACAAATAGAGTTCCAATCTCTTATAGTAAACCACACTTCACCCCAGGAGTATCTGTCTTCTTCCAAAATCATCCACTGAGCTTCCCTGGTTCTTCTATCAGCACTCATATAAACAAACACACCCCAACCTTGATCTTCATGATTCAGAGAGTAGTTGACTGCAATGTAGAATTCCTTAGAAACCACATTGATAATATCCACCTCTTGATGCCAAAGCAATAGAAGTCCTCCACTTTGCCCTCTAGGATCCACAATATAGTGTCTGTCTGCAAATCCCAGCTTCCTACTAATAGATTTAACATAAGCACCATTATTTTTAGTTTCAGAGAGAAAGAAAAACCTTGGGTGGTGAGTCCTAAAAGACTCGTTGATTTGGGAAATTGTAGAGGGCCCACCCAGCCCTCTACAATTCCACACCGCAGCTAGCATTGATGGGTTGGGTGCCACTCTAGGCTGGCATCCCCCACCTTGTTGTTTGAGCCTTTAATCTTTTTCCCAGACTGTTCTGTATCCTCTACTTCTAGAGAGTTAAGATCATCTCTGTCTCTTTTTGATCCTAAGGATTGCTCGGGGGAGGGACTTAGAATTATTTGTCTCTGTAGCCTTCCTTCCTTAGTTGCAGACCTTTTCCAGGAGCTCATTCTAGTCACTGTATTCCCTTTCTGCATTGAAGTACTCTTCTGGGCAGTCATGTTTGAAATGGAAGGGAGAGTGAGCTCAATCTCATAAGCTTGTCTTTCTCTTGAATAGGAATAGCAGAGGTGACTATCTCCATGGAGTGCTGTTGATTAGAAGTAGCCAGATCAGATAATACCAATTGAGTTGAAGGATGAAGATCAGGAACCTCTGAGAATGAGTCTACTGTGTCTTGTGGGCATGTCTCCTGTAAACTCTTCATGGCTGTTATAGGAATATGGCTGTCTGGAATTTGCCCAGTTGAACTTGATGGATTATTTGAATTGACTGTTGCAAGGGCTTGACTAGTAAATGGAGATTGTCTTGAACTTGAAGGACTTGCATATGTCCCAGGTATGATATCTTCGGTCTTGAGCCACTCTCCCTATTGCCCCTCCTTCAAAACTTGATTTTTAATGTCATCAAGCCTTTTCTTGCAGCTTTTGTCCAGATGCCCAATGACTCCGCAGTAATAGCAAAGACTCACAAGCCTCTCATATTGGAACCCCACTGTAGCAATTTGATCCCCCAGCCTAATGTTTGTGCATCTTGGTAGTGGTTCGCCGAGGTTGATAGAAACCAGAAGCTTTAACATCTTACCTCCATGAGGGCTTGTGTTTTGAACTAGAACATTCTTAACATCCGAGAATGCCTTCCCTATTTTAAGACCAACTTCGGCGCTAAGCCAGTCAAGGGGAAGGTTGGTTACCTGGGCCCAGAGCAGCAGCTCATTGAATCCCTTGTGAAGGCTATTTAACCCTTGCTCCCATTCACGGAGAATCAAATATTGGTTATCATAAATCCAGTTGGTGCCGCTTGCAACTTTTTCCAAATCTTCCCTATTTTGGAAGATGAACTGGAAGTAATTAAGTTCCAGCTCCTTAATATCCATTGGTATCTGCAGCTTCCATATATTGTTCATCGTACGTTTTATACCAATCCAGCTAGCACGACGGTCGCCCACCACCTTCCCGAACAGACTACATCGGCATTCTTCTGAACTT